GGCCTCCCAAAGTGCTGGGATTACAGGCTTGAGCCACCGCGCCCGGCTCTTTTCTTACCTTTTTAAGTTGGGGAACACCTATTCATCTATTGAGACACGACTCAACTCACACCTCCAAAGTGAAACTTTCTCTGATCCCAAGAAAGAGGCAGGAGCTCCATGCTCAGTGCGACTTCTGCCCTGGTACCTAATTTTCTAATTGCCTTGGTCATACTTAAAACTATTTCCATTTTCCTACTCTTTTGCCTTACTAGACTGAGCTTCTTGGAAACAAGGGCTGGCTTTTCAAATTTGATCTCATGAGAAGTTTCCTATACTGTTTGGAAAATGGTATTCAATAGGGATGGTGCAAAATCAAATGTGTGAACGAATGAACAGCATGATTCCCACAGACATCACTTTGACATTTTCTCTTGTGTCTTAGTTGAACCTCATCTTTGGCCCCAGCTCTCTCTCTACCTGCTTAAAGTCATTATGATTTAGTAACTATCCACCCAGCGAAGAGGGCAGTGGTTTTTGGGCTAGTCTACAGTTGCCAGGTGTTGACTGTTTTAAAGCTTATGGTTGCAACCAGAAAAATATTTGGCCTTCTGCCCAACCTTTGCTTTGACATGGAAACTCCCTCCTGCTTTTTTCCATTATCTACAATGTATCCTTCCTTTAAGGTCTAAACTTCTCCTTCTCCAAAGTGCCTTCCCAGCTACCTTCCCATTAACCCCAAACCTCTGACTGCTGTATTTTCTGGACCTCTTAAGAGTGGCCTCCACCACTGGGGGAAGAGGGCAGGATAAGGGTGAGCTCCCCAAGAAGGGACCCCCATAGAAAGTTGAACCTGGGAGTGTCTGGAATGAACTGTGAATGCTTTAACCAGAGGAAAAGAGACTGTGACTTTTCTCCCCTATTTGGTTTGTTCCCCCAGGGCATCTTCATCTGGAGCAAAGGTCAGTTGTGTGTTTGCGCCCACCCTTAGGGCTGAATTCTCCCTTAGGCACAGGAAGCACAGCACCCAGGGCCCATAATGTTTTTGGGGGTTTACAACAATGTTTTCACTTTAATTTCATTTAGAATCATAAGAAAAGAACTACATAATAATACTGAATATGTAAAAGTGAATCCAGCCTGGATTCTATGATCTTACACCAGTACAGTCGTAAAATATGATTATCAATGTTTTTATGGAGGAAGGGGCCCACGAAGGCAAAAGCAAAGTAAGTGAACCATTTACCACCAGATAAGTCACCAAAGTCATAACGCAGCCCTGACAATTTTGTGAGCTGGAATCCAGAGAGCAAAGAAAATAACATTAGGAAGAAGAAGTACAGAAAAGCCCTGAACACTAGCGCCCTATGTTTGGGAAAGGAAATCTCTCTCTTTTGGGTGAGGGAGGACAAAGAAGTTCCTATATCCTACCACTCTCCTGCCCCACCTCAGCAACAATGCAACACATAGAACACTCTGTGCACTATCACATTCACGGCACCTATGGGACCCATTCACTCATCAAAGATCATCCGACTTCTTCAGCATCCTCATTTCTATTATTCAGTGGTCAAGCTCTTCTTCCCCTTCAGCCTACATAGTACCTAGTCCGTTGAGGTGCTTTAAAATGTTTGAAGAATGACAATGATCAATTTCTCCTAGTTTTTTTTTTTTTTTAGCTTTTGAATCATGCATTTGGAAACACTGAATTTTCATGCCACATTCTATGTATTAATTATGAAATAACTCTCATCATTGGAATATTCTAAATGAGGAAAATAGAAAATGCTATGTCTTCCTGTTATTTTTCACCAAACACAGTTCGCTGGGGCTTATAAATACACTTTATCAAATCCCTCTGTGCAAGTAGTCCCGAGTGCTCCCCCTACCAACCCCGCACCATGAGAGAATGAATAAATGAATATCTAACAGGGCCCACACAATACCCACGAGATAATCGGCATTCTGAAAGTGTCTGAAGATATCATGTATGATAGACACCAAAGAGTGACCCTGTGCATTTCACTCCTGAATTACTGGTTGGCAGAAATGGCTGAGCAACACAAACAGATCTGAGGAGGACAAAACAGATAAATTCAGAAAACAGGGTCAGCGTGATTAGTAGATGTCAGAAATGATACTTTTCTGTCCCCCACCCCCTTCTGATTTATGCAGGACACTGTTTCTGATTTCCTTTGTTTTTCAACCCCAATATATTCCGGCTCCAGTTATTCATTACAAATGGCCACACTGTTTACTGAAGGCTGGTGTGTCAGTTGTTGAAGGAAGAAGGGACCCAAGTAATGCTGTCTCCAGAAGCCCAATTTCCAACCCCTTTGGGGTTCCAGCCTCCTAGCAAGTAGATGAAGACTGCCAAAGATTGATCTCCAAATTGAGTTTCTCCAAGGCCAGCTTGCAGAGGCCTGGCAATCAGAAGAGGATACTAAAGGAGCATCTCAGCGACAGACACACTGAAAATAATTATCCTGATCCACAAACACAAGCAAAGCTATGAGAATGGTCTTATAAGCCAGGTCTGCTTTAATAGAAACATAAGTATTATGCATTGTAGTCTATTGTAAATTGGTTGTAATTTTCTCCTGACACTTTCTGAATTAAACTAGTTAGTATACCAAAAATAATAACAATAATAAAATAATAATAATAATAATAACAAATGCCACAAAGCAAAAAGCAAACTCAGTGTCTGAAGGTTAATGATTGCTCATGAAAGCCACAGAAATAAATTATCTGCCTAGGGACACTGTCACATGATCAGCACAAAAGCTGCAACAGCCAAAAATGTTTATGTAGAGGAAAAAAACACTGTCAGCGTCACACAACCCTTCCCCCCACAGCTAAATTGAAGTCCTGAGCCAGCCAGCTGCTCCTGACTGCTTACATTAAACTAATTTGTGCTGCTACATTGCAGCTGCTTAATTTTTAGTCTGAACTTTATCACCAATAAATGTTAGAATAACAAGCGATATGATGGTATCTCTGAAGAAATATCCATCAGCCCCCAAACAACTACAGCCTCACAAGAGTAGACTGTAGAAAACCAAATGAAAAAAAAAAAATCAAAAAAAAAAAAAAAACAAGAAAGGAAGAAAGAAAATTACCCCCACACTGCCGCTTTAAAAGGGGGGGAGGGGCAAACTTTTAGTGGGAAAGGCTTTAAAGCGTGGCTTTGTTCCAAAGGCCATTCTGCAATGATGAAGGGGGATGATTGAAAAGGTTAGTAGCAGGGGAAGAGTTAACAAGTAAGATGTGCTTTACTAAGAGGGGGTGATTTGCAAGGTGAGAGCTTAGAAGGGGGAAGGCAATTTCCTTACAACAATGCAGTCGGTACTTTCTCTCTTGCTCACCGTCCTGAAAAACGTGTGCAAACCCAAACTGCAGCTTGGGCGGTAATTTCAGAGTTGCCCCAAACATTATTCTTTGGCCAGCCTGGGCACTGGAGCTTAGAATATTACGTGTTGTTCCCCATGTTTTCCTCTGTTATTTTCCTAGCTCAGTGTAAATGCAGAAAGTCTTCTTTGGGCAGAAACAGACACTGACCTGAACTGGTTTAAATTCCTGCCAAATACGCAGGCACTGTTTTTGCAACATTTTGGAATTTGGCTTAGACCATATGTCAGGCATTTATTTGTACGCAGAACTAGAATGGAGACCTAACAACTTCAAAAAATAAAAGATTTTAAAAAAAAGCATTAGGAATGTCCTGAAAGTTTCTATTATTAATTAATCTGAATATAATTACTGTTTTTGGTTAAGATATCTTGTTACACACTCTCCTGTTTACTGCAGGGGAAATTCAGCTTCACCCTGCTCAGTAATGACCAAAACAATTCCTTTGAAAGCAGGGGAAGAACACCCATGTCAGCTATTTACAGCATTTTAAAAATTATGTGGTTTTCAGAATTAAGGTTCAAAGTGAATGTTATTGAGTAATAAAGTAGTTTTTCTTGCACAGATATCCTAAATGTAAAAAGAGATGTTTACACTGGAATGATTTTCCCAGGGTGGGGAGGGGGGCTGGGGAGGTGGAGGTTTAGACCCACCCTACGTTTTTCAACTTGACACCTTTACATCTGAGGGTCCCAGCCCAGGTCCTAGTAGATTTCTTTTTTCAGACAGCTGGTAAACCACGCTGTGGGACGGACTCAGAATGCCATGGGGCATGGCCTGGTTTTGTGGGCTTCAGGGTAACTGTGTTTGCAAGAGCCCTCCAGGAGAGGCTTCCAGGGAGGGAGATGGATGAGGAGTGCCTGGAACCCATCAGGATTCCTCTTCCCCTCCCCCTCTCCAGTGCCAAATGGGTCACTTGCACAGTGCAAGGCTTTCTCTCCACAGGGCTCAGCGTGATACCTCCGTCTGCTGTTGGCAAAGCTTTAAGACTGCTGGGAACTCAGACGAAAGCATCCTCAGGCTTGGAGGTGTGGCAGGGTGTAACTAGAATGAGTGCAACTTTTTAAAAGGCACCTAACCATACATAGGCAGGTGGGGAAGGGACCAAGATGGAAGGGCAGCGGAGGGGAGGGTCGTTAAACAGCAGCTTGCTCTTAATGATAGAAGTGGCAGCGGGGTTCGGTTGCTCTTAAACAGAGTGAAAGACCTTCTTGCCATAAGTGGCCAAACGTCCTATCAAAACCTCAATTGTGAAATTAGAAATTAATTTGAATGGAATGTGACAGTCTGCCTTACCTATCTGTTCTTTTAGAGCTGGACTAAACTGGTCTAACTAGGACACTTGAAGGCTTGTGAATCAGTTCACATGATCAGTGTGAAAGCGGGTATGAAGATCCAGATGCTGGTGTGGACGTGTGCATGTAAGCACTCACAGAGGACACAGGTATGAACTCAGAAGGGGTGGATATGCGGGTATTCTTCACTCTCAAGCAAACCCCACATGACAGAAAGTTCTTGCTACCAGCCAGGAATGATCTCACAGGGTTGAGCAGTTTGAATTGGCTCCTTTCCTGAAAATCTCTAGAAACAAATCCTTTCGACATAGCCTTTTCCAGAACAGCACCAAATTAAATTCCACAAATCCTGAATTAGAATCATAATTCGCAAAAGCGGTTATTGTTGCTTTCGTGGGTTCCAGAAGCAGCAAGGCACTCTGGTCACAGGTTTCTTCATCACGTCTCTGGACTTCCTCCATCTAGCTTTGCTGTTTAGCCAGAAATCAAGCCTTTCTGGCTTCCCATTGTTAGAGAAGTGGAAACAGTTAATGGAGTATGCAATGAGGTATGTTGTAATTTCCAATGCACAGCATTAACGCTTGTAGTCATGAGCTTGAAATGTAGCATTTTTCACAGAGGCAAAGTGTGGAAAGTAATAGATGTGACTAAGGAGGACAAATGTTGTTTTGCATTTTTTGCTTACATACGAGAGCATAGGCCAAATTATAGAGTGACTAAAGTCATATAATTATCTTTCATAGCATTTTTCATCATAGAATTATAAATGACAAATGATTTATCTAAAATTAAAACCAGTTACTATTAATGTATTTTTATATAAATATATTATACAATATTTTATCCTCCTAAGATCTTCTGTGACTTTACAGATTATCAAGAGGTAATGTACATGAAAATGTTTTGCAAACAATGGATGCTGTTTAAACATAAGGATTATTGACATTATTATCACATCTGTCTCCAAATTTTAACCAGTAATCTATTCTAAGGGCTGGTGTAGTGGCTCACACCTGTAACCCCAGCACTTTTGGAGGCTGCGATGGGAGGATTGCTTGAACCCAGGAGTTTGAGACTAGCCAGGGCAACATACAGAAACTGCATCTCTATGAAAAAATAAAAATTAAAAACAGCTAGGCATGGTGGCACACGCCTGCTACTCCTACTTGGGAGGAGAGGCAGGAGAATTGCTCGAACTTAGGAGGTGGAGTTTGCAGTGAGCCAAGATCTTGATCATGTCACTGCACTCCAGCCTGGGTGACGGAGTGAGACTCCTTCTCAAAAAAAAAAAAAAAAAAAAAATCTATTCTATCTTTTACTTGCAAGATGGGTAAACAAAGGTATATTGATTATGCAAAATCTTCCAAGAAACAGAACTAAAAGACAAAAATCTTGTAACAATTCTTCACTCAACTAGTATATATTGTGTGTATAGTAAGAGGGGGGCTATCCTGATGTCACCTGACTGAAGACACACTCTGAATAACTTCTTCCTTCTCAACATATCCATCTCCACCCATGTAAAATGCCCTCCCATTCAAACGTCGGGAAACTAGACAACAGGATGAGAGGCCAGCATCTCTGAAATCCCTCAGCTGGCATGCACCTGGCTATGCTAGAGCCAGAGCGATGAATGATGGGGAAGATTTGGATACAATGACTCCTGTGCAGAGCGGACCTATCCATGAGGCTCACCTGACATCGTGCTCAGAGACCATGATCCTTTTAGGTGCCCATGAAAACGTTTTAATTTCTTTTAAAATCAGAAGAAAAAAGGGAACTTTTAGGTCAAAGAAAGCATTTTAAACATATCATATATCAGCCAGGCATGGTAGCTCACACCTGTAATTCCAACGCTTTGGGAGGCCGAGGTGGGTGGATCACAAGGTAAAGAGTTTGAGACCAGCCTGACCAACATGATGAAACTCCGTCTCTACTAAAAATACAAAAATTAGCCGGGTGTGGTGGTGCGTACCTATAATCCCAGCTACTCAGGAGGCTGAGACAGGAGAATCCCTTGAACTGGGGAGGCAGAGGTTGCAGTGAGCTGAGATCACGCCATTGCATTCCAGCCTGGGCGACAGAGTGAGTCTGTCTCAAAATAAAGAAAACTGTATATATTTACTATATTCATCTTTATACCAACACGATCATAAAATACAATTTTTACTTTTTCACTGGAGGTAAGAGCCCATGAAATCAGGAAGTGCCTGGGTTACTTTCCTTAGTTTCCTATCACTGTTGTTACAAGTTACCACGACACTTGGTGACTTCATTATCTTACAGTTCTGGCAGTCAGAAGTCCAAAATGGGTCTTACACGGCTAAAATCCAGATGTGGACAGGGAGGAAGAACTGAGAACCCCATATCCTGCTGGGAGCAGCAGGAGCACTGCAATAGACATAACCCTTCTTTGCCTCTGTATGTCCTCTGCCCCATGCTGCTTATTTCCTTATTGAAAGTTAAGAGTCCAGCTGTCATTGGGAACCTCTGGTTCTGCACCATTTGATGAAGAGCCAGGAAAAACTCCCCTGAGAACAGCAATACACACTGATCCTACCAGCTCATTCATTTAGAATATACTTTCTAAAGCCAGTATTCATGGCTGTAGGCAAATGAAGCAGGATTATCATGATAACTCTACCCATTTCATTCTACAGACAGACTGTCTGGTTCTCTGAGGTCACAGCAGTGTAATCTTAAGGTAACCTTTAAGATCTGATTGACACATTTTCAGGATTTAAAGTAAAATTAAAAGAATGTGGAAAGGAGTTGTTTGTGGCACTGTAACAGCCAGCCATGTTTACGGAAACAGATTCAAGTTGAGCAATGATCCCGCAGATTTTGTTTGCCAGGGAGGACCATGGAGCCAGTGAGATCCACAGTTTTCCCACTGCAAGGGATATTTTTCTCTCAATGACGTTATATAATTGATGCAGATCTCATTTTTCCTTTACATACCCAGACAAAACCCCAGAGAGGCCGAGCCCCCAGATACTTCACGTTTTATCGGATATTTGGCACAAAGAAACACTTTTGCAGTCTACAGTTTAAACTAAACAACTGTCTGGGAGACTTTTGTGATTGTAGATGCTAATTTCAACTCTCCTGTAACCCATTCCTCAGTATTACCATCCATAAAATGGACGTAGCAATAATAAACTAAGTCATGAAATTATTTATGAGGAATACCACTGGTGGGATTATATGGCACTTTACACACATAAAATCTAAGTAGTTCAAACAATCAAAAGTAACATTTTCCAGTGACACCTCCATAAAAGCCAGTTTCTTCTGAACAAATACAAACTTTCCACAGAGATGTCTAAGCCACAGAACAGCACAGGCAGACATGAAATGTAAACCCTATTGAGAAACAGAAACGAAACAAAATCTGCATTTGAAAATTGGAGTTTTGTCACAATTGCAGTACATCTAACAGTCTTCCTTGTTCTAGTTACTATATATTATTTTTCTTACCATCATGAAGAAAAGATATCACAGAAAATGATGTTAAAGACAGGCCTAACATACGCTTTCTGAGTTTTCTGGTGAAAGATTATGTTTTCAAAAAACTTCTCCAAGGGAAACTCTTTGAAGTATTTTTATGCCATTTGATCAGTTAAAATTTTGTTATTTGCATTATTTTGAAATGTTTTTGTTCTCTAAAGCCTGCTGAGAGGATGCATAATTGTGGAAAACAATTTAATAAATAAGAGAAAACTAACAATAACGATGTAACATACATATGAAATTCCTGACTGCGAAGAATTGAAATGGGGGGAGGGTGAATAAAATGAAGAGAAAAGTTGACAAGTGAAATTTCAAGCAGTTTTATTTTTAATGGGAAAAAAAATTCTCCACCATTAATGTGTAATCTGCACAAAGACAAGGGTTTTAAAAAAAGGAAGAGCAAAGTGAGGAAGGTCAGGGTGTTAAATCGGATTTGTGCAGAGAAATTATATAATAACGCTTTGGATAGATGACTTATAGTGACATCCTGAATATTGTTTGGCCACAAACAGTAGAAATTTCTCCCTTTGTAATGCCTTCCATCTCATCCCTGCAAAACAGGGTAGGGAACGGAGCAAACTCTTAACAGCAGAGTACTACATCCAACCGGAACAGCAAAGAAGAGAAGAGAAACCATGCTGTAGGGTTATATTATTCCAAAATATTCTTTGACATTCCCTAGATTTTTTTTTTTTTTTTTTCCATTTCACTACTATACTTGCCCAACCATGCTGGGGTGTTATGCTATTTTAGACATGAGTTAACAGGTCTCTTTACATACACACATTTCCACATTCCAGTGAGACCTATTATATCCTCTTCCTCCCTACCCCACCCTTGCAGCATGCACACACGCACACCCCACTCTCTCTCCTTCTCCACCCACACAGTACCATCCCCCTCCAGTATTTTTTCCTTGTTGTTCAAGACTTCCCAATTACTAAATGTTTCCAAGGCCATGCAGATCCATATGCCTGAGAAAGGTTTTCTACCATATGACACGGTTGATTCTGCAAAATAAAATAGCTGTAGACAGAGAGCAGGTAAAACAGAACAAATGGCAAGCAAAAGGAAGCACTTTAACTTGGCTGGTCATTCAGAGGGTGGGAATAGACCTCAGGGGATCTTGTAGCCCTTGCTACTCAACATACAATCCTTGGACCCACAGCATCAACTGGGAGCTTGTCAAAAAAATACAGATTCTCAGCTGGGTGTGAGGGCTACAACTATAATCCCAGCTGGGAGGTTAAGGCCAGAGGATTTCGTTATTATTATGATTTCAGTAGTTTTGGGGAAATACATGGTTTTGGTTACATGCATAAGTTCTTTAGTGGTTATTTTTGAGATTTTTTTTTGAGATAGTGTACACTGCACCCCATTAGGGTCTCTTGAGCCCAGGAGTTTGAGACCAGCCTGGGCAACACAGAGAAACCTCATCTCTACAAAGGATTCAAAATTAAAAATTAGCCAGACGTGGTAGCACACACCTGTACTCCCAGCTCCTCAGGAAGCTGCAGTGGGAGGAACACTGGAGCCCCGGAGTTTGACACCAGCGTGGGCAACATAGGGAGACCTCATCTCCAGAAAAAGAAAAATGCCTACTCTGCATCAGACCTACTGAGTGCACATTAAAGACAGAAACGTTTCACTGTGTCAGTCTCCTACCATCAGGCAAGTAAAGACACTTGTCAATGATTTAAATATTTATATCCAATTGGGAGAA